CTTTCCATTTCTGGCATTCTTTAAGTTATAGCCCATAATACAAAAATTTTTTAGGAAAAATTTGGTCACGTGACCCCAGCTGCAAAGGGCCTATTGTGATATGAAAATTAATGGGAGGGTTATAAAATAAATAAACCCCTTTCTGGCTTGCTGGTATGTCGGCTGATAATGTCCTTGGCTGAGATTGTCCATAAAATTTCACATTTGCCCTCGAAGCTTCGCTTCTCGGCCAAATATTCATTTTTCGGACGATCTCTCAGCCGCGGACATTATCTGCCGACATACCAGCCGCCTGAAGAGGTTTATTTACTAAATAGTCACGCGAATTTGCATTGTACCAACAGTATCTAGACGCGCTTCTCTCTGAGCATATTCAGTAAAGTTTTTGTGGGTACCTAATCTAGAGTAGGGTTGCAAAATCAAGCTGATCATTGTCTAGTATGGGGTAATGGTTTCAGTGTTCCAGTGGCACACCGCACTCAAAGATTTACAGAGTAACCCCCCCGCTGTGCTATTACTGTAAAGCTAAGGCAGAGGGTCATTTAGAGTCGCTACTTTTAGACTGCTTAATTCGGGGCTAAGATATGTTCCGCATTTGGACCTTTTACAGGCTATTCTAGCTTTTCATGTATTCCTGTGAACCACTAGTCAAGTCAGTCAAGGAAGTACAGTACACTCTTTTTTTTTTTTAACACTGATGAGAATATCGTTTTACCGGCCCAGGCTGAATATTCGTATTTTCTGTCGATTTTAGGCTGAAAATGTTCTTGTGAATATTCTTCAATCAAAGTGTATGACAGTTCCGTTTTTGAACGTACTGGAGTAATAAAGCCTGAAATGACACACAAAACTTCTTGCAGAAATGTTATTAGCGTCGAACATATGGTTATGTTTTTGTTGTTGTTTTGGCTAGTTTTGCCGTTTAGAGAAGGGAGAAATTTTATACGGTATAGTTAAAAACATTCAATTGTATCATGTTTACAAATTTTTCACACAAAATAATATTCTTCTCAAAATCTCAACCTCGAGTTTATTCTTACAATATTCTTAAAATTTCGCAAATTCCAGCCTCGACATCCTTATAAAATATATTCTTATAAAAAATGTGTACAGTTATAGCGCGTACGCAATATTAACAGTAGTTATCATTATTGCAGCAGAACTTGTAAGACAAGCCTTCGTGGAAAGCGTCATTGTAACTCATTGACACAATACCCTCACGTCTCCACTTGGCAAGTCGACACACGTAATTATAAATACTCTCTTCAATTGCAGCCGCTATATAAAGAAACGTCTCACTCATTGAAAACGATAATGAACAAATCATTAACTCTGGGATGTTTTCCTATTTGGATGAGCTTTTTTACGTCAGGATCAATACATACTTTTAAAAGAGGATGATTGATATGTTCAAGGAAGTTCAATGACAGAGGACGACACCACAAGCAATCCCAAGCACATCCAAAACTGTCACGTGAGTTTGTCGTCGTGTGGAAATAAATATGTTGCTTAGCAGTAACTCTTACAAACACCACGGGCGCTGTCAGTTCTTGCAAGGGCCCTGGTCACCCACTGAGGTGTTACTTGGTGTTCCTGTGGCTGCAAAAGATTCTTCCGCGCAGTTTATCTCTCTCACCCCAGCATCACATAATGCATCATGACATCCATGTCAGCGATCTTTTCGTCCTACTGAATGTCCTGACTCAGATTGCACTCTATCCAGCGGCTTAATTTCTCGCTCCTTTTCGGATTGGTGGAAGCATTAGAGGCACGTGACCAACTCCGATGGCTGGCAAAGCAGGCTGGGATCGCCCTAAAGGAAGCTGTGACGCAGGCGGCGGCGGGTGGCTCTTCACCTTCTTAGTGATCGCTCGTACCAGATCTCTAGCATGCTTGAGACTGTAAGCTGACAAAAATATAAAAGAATATCGTCATTTCTAGAAGTTTACCCATTTCTAGGTCAGAGAGGCGATAGTTTTGTCACTTATAAAGAGATTGGGGTAACTTTTTTTTAAATCAGCTTTTCAAACAAATGTTTATAACCTTTCACTTCATGGTAGCTTTTCAGGAGCTCCGCTCTTAGGCTTGGCTAAATCTCTATGTAATATTAACCTCAGGATTAAACTTTTATTTCATGGTAGCTTTTCTACAAGACAAACGCGATTTAGTGGTTATTGCTGCTCGTGTAGGTCATAAAAAATTACGATATGGGTACGAAAAAAAAAAAATCGAGAAAAAGGTTCTTATTCATCGTGGTAGATGCAATAATAAAGTGTATTATCGTTTGTCT